GGAATTCTGGTATCCAAGCCATTTAAATTTTTCATGCTCACATTTAGACATGTGTGTTTCTTGAATAAATAGCACATGTGATCTATCCCTTCTGAGTTTTGTCAATATTCTGCTTCTTTTTATTGGGTTACTAAGGCCATTCACATTTATCGATGTTACTTTGAGGTTTGTTGACCTGCTCATTGCTTTCATTTACATAAAAAAGTAGTCCCCACTACTAAACTCGCTCCATGAACCACAACGTCTCAAACTCTGAGACCAACTAAACATAAATAACAGAGAGAACACATCATACCTAGAACTTCCACCTAGTGGGAAAAAAGTCTCTCCCACTTGGACCCCGTTGGTAGGCCTAGGGTAATGCCTCTCTTGATGAGAGGGCCCTACGTAGGTTTCAGTTAGCAGTGTAGCTGCCTCCATCCTAATTGTGCAACGACCCCCCCCCCCCCCATCTTCTGGTGCCGCTCCTCTTTCCTGTAGATCCGTGCGGCCGACGCGTTGTGTGTGCCCGGCTTGAAACTCTCTCAGTTTTTCTTTTGTTCTTTGTGTCGTTGAGACTCTCTGTGCCCTCTGGGGTAGAGGCTTCCTTTGCCATACCAAGATCTCCCGCAGGCGGGATTCCAAAGTATCCTCCTCCGCCCTCATCGTCGGCACCTCCACGTTCAGCCCCCGTTTACGCAGCTCCCCTCTGACTTTGCGCGCACTTCCGTACGTGCGGGCCTCGTCCTCCCAGTGAATGCATGTATTTGTGTATGGTGTTCGGAATCTTATGCCCTTGTCTTTTAAGCTCTTCTTTACCGTTTGATACTCCCTGTGCTTTTTCATAATTTCAGTAGCGTAGTCATGGTCAAAGTAAATGTTTTGATTGTCCAGATGGATCCGCCCTCTTTTCCAGACTTCTTTTAATATTAGCTCCTTTGTTGTGAATTCTTGAAAATTGACCACAATTGATCTTGGCAGTGCATCTGGTAAGGGTTTCCGAGCTGGGACCCTGTGAGCTCGCTGGATTTTCAGATCCAGATCAGCCGGTAACGGTAGCTCCCTTTTAAGGAGGTCCGTGAAGAATTGTACCACCGATTCCCCCTCCGCTCCTTCGCCCACCCCAAAAAGTCGAATATTGTTTCTTATGGCTCTGGATTCCAGCTCAGTCAGCTTGTTTTGGGTGGTCTTTTGTTGTTCAATACTCTTGATCAATGCTTCGATCAGCTCCACTGACGCGTCCTCCACATGTCCCACCCGTGTCTCCACTTCTTCCATTCTTTCTGTCAATCCCTGCATGTCTTTGGTTATTGTGTTGAGCTTGCCTCCCATTTCCCGATGCATCGCAGTGATAACTTTCCTCAGGCTTTCATTATCCCCTTTTAGCTCATTCTTAAGGTCTCCAATAGCCTTTAGCAATTCGCTCGCAGAGATGCTAGCGCCTGCATTAGCTTGTGCTGCTGCATTGCTAGCTCTGGTCGACGAGTTGTTCTTTTCTTGCGGTTTGAGCATATTTGCGTCTTCCTGGCCTGCGGTTTGTTTTCGGTATGTTTCTTCACCCACTATCTGTTCTTTGGAATGGAGTCTCTTTAGATTTATTGAGTTTGAAGTGGGTTTGCTGAGGCTTATCGAGGAGCTAGCACCAGACGCATCTACCCGTCTACGTCATCTCACAGCAGATCACTTCTGTGAGGTAGCTTGAACAACCAAGTAATAAATAACATAAATTCTTCACTTTTGGACTTTATTGCAAATATAAAAAGTTTAATATAAAAACAGATAGCACTTCAACTTCAAATACCTGGCAGGGGTCTATTTTGCCTCGGCCCCCAAAATGCTTAGATATGCCCCTGGGCATGGGACGGAGTTTTGAAGATGATCTGAATTGTATCAACTATATAAATACTACATGCTGATAAGTTATTGCTTTATACAGGTACACGCGTGTAGTGGGATAAATCTACCTACATTTTATTATTTAAGAACTTTGTTTTGTTTTCTTGGTTTTTATTTTCCTGTCTCCCTGTCCTGTCTGTCTCTGATCTTCCTGTCCTGTCTGTCTCTGATATTCCTGCATCTCCCAGTCCACCAGAAAAACTCCTGTCTTCTTCCTTCTTTTTCACCTCACAAGTAACTTTTTAACTAGCAGATCAAATTGATCTATTGACCGCTAAAAAAGGAGGAGTGTGCGCCGCGCTGCCCGGCTGCACCAGTGACGGGCGCTGCAGCGCGAGCGCGTCCTCACGTCATGCTCAAATCCAGACAGAACTTACTAGAGAGAAAATGAACAGACACGAACGACTGTGTGTTAATTATATATTTTTGGTGACACCACTTAGAAACTTAGAAAATGTTACTGTGGCCGTGTGCAGAACGCAGCTGGAGTTCATGAATAATCAGCGGTCTGCCAGCCTCTCTGCATCTCTGCCCAAAGGAATCCCGCTACTCTGAGTCCATATAAATAATATAATAAAGGTAGAAACTGGATCTCTTTGTGCTCCTTCTGGGTGTGTAAGTTAAGGGCATCAGGAGAGCCTGACAACCTTTAAGGAGAACCAAGTTGCTCTCCTGTAATTTGAACCCAGTATCCGATTCTTGATCGGGGCTTGGATCGGGAAGTAAAGCCCGAGTCCCGATCAGTCTGAAACTACGTGATTGGGGCCGATTTCCGATCATGTGATCGGATCGGGACATTCCTACTTATAAACATTAGACTTTCATATATATTAGATTAATTACACACACAACTGAATTAGTTCAAGCCTTTTATTGTTTCTAATATTGATGATTTTGGCATATAGCTCATGAAAACCCAAAATTCCTATCTCAAAAAATTAGCATATCATGAAAAGGTTCTCTAATCGAGCCATTAACCTAATCATCTGAATCAACTAATTATCTCTAAACACCTGCAAAAGATTCCTGAGGCTTTTAAAAACTCCCAGCCTGGTTCATTACTCAAAACCGCAATCATGGGTAAGACTGCCGACCTGACTGCTGTCCAGAAGGCCATCATTGACACCCTCAAGCAAGAGGGTATGACACAGAAAGACATTTCTGAACAAATAGGCTGTTCCCAGAGTGCTGTATCAAGGCACCTCAGTGGGAAGTCTGTGGGAAGGAAAAAGTGTGGCAGAAAATGCTGCACAACGAGAAGAGGTGACTGGACCCTGAGGAAGATTGTGGAGAAGGACCGATTCCAAACCTTGGGGGACCTGCGGAAGCAGCGGAATGTCTGGAGTAGAAACGTCCAGAGCCACCGTGTACAGGTGTGTGCAGGAAATGGGCTACAGGTGCCGCATTCCCCAGGTCAAGCCACTTTTGAACCAAAAACAGCGGCAGAAGCGCCTGACCTGGGCTACAGAGACGCAGCACTGGACTGTTGCTCAGTGGTCCAAAGTACTTTTTCTGGATGAAAGCAAATTTTGCATGTCATTCGGAAATCAAGGTGCCAGAGTCTGGAGGAAGACTGGGCAGAGGGAAATGCCAAAATGCCTGAAGTTCAGTGTCAAGTTCCCAGTCAGTGATGGTCTGGGGTGCCATGTCAGCTGCTGGTGTTGGTCCACTGTGTTTAATCAAGGGCAAGGTCAATGCAGCTAGCTATCAGGAGATTTTGGAGCTTTTCATGCTTCCATCTGCTGAAAAGCTTTATGGAGATGAAGATTTCATTTTTCAGCACGACCTGGCACCTGCTCACAGTGCCAAAACCACTGGTAAATGGTTTACTGACCATGGTATTACTGTGCTCAATTGGCCTGCCAACTCTCCTGACCTGAACCCCAGAGAGAATCTGTGGGATATTGTGAAGAGAAATTTGAGAGACACAAGACCCAACAATCTGGATGAGCTTAAGACCGCTATCGAAGCATCCTGGGCCTCCATAACACCTCAGCAGTGCCACAGGCTGACTGCCTCCATGCCACGCCGCACTGAAGCAGTCATTTCTGCAAAAGGATTCCCGGCCAAGTATTGAGTGCATAACTGAACATAATTATTTGAAGGTTGACTTTTTTTTTTGTATTAAAAACACTTTTCTTTGGGGCGACGGTGGCACAGGAGTTAAGTGCTCGCCCCGTAATTGGAAGGTTGCAGGTTTGAGTCCCGCTCAGTCTGTTGCTGTTGTTGTGTCCTTGGGCAAGACACTTAACCCACGTTGCCTGCTGGTGGTGGTCGGAGGGACTGGTGGCGCCAGTGCTCAGCAGCCTCGCCTTTGTCAGTGTGCCCCAGGGCAGCTGTGGCTACATTGTAGCTCATCCCCACCAGTGTGTGAATGTGTGTGTGAATGGGTGAATGACTGATTGTGTTATAAAGCACCTTGGGGGGTTCCAGGACTCTAGAAGGCCCTATATCAAATACAGGCCATTTACCATTCTTTTATTGGTCGGATGAAATATGCAAATTTTTTGAGATAGGAATTTTGGGTTTTCATGAGCTGTATGCCAAAATCATCAATATTAGAAACAATAAAAGGCTTGAACTACTTCAGTTGTGCGTAATGAATCTAATATATATGAAAGTCTAATGTTTATCAGTACATTAATGACAGTACATTACAGACAATAATGAACTTCATTACAATATGCTAATTTTTTTAGAAGGGCCTGTACACTTCCACATCGCCAAATGCAGCAAGGTAAAGAAAAGATGAAGAACCCAGGCAAGAAAAAAGGTTGAAATCCCTGTCTTCCAACTTCAGTAACTACAAACAAAACTCCTGCATGGATGATGCGCTCTCCCTGAAGGCTCGTTGACCTTTGTGGGGGAAGGTGATCACGTGCCTTTCTGTCGCCGGGAACAGCTCACCCTCAGAGTGGCTGACCCATACGTCACCTCTACATGCTGTAGTATCATAGCCCTATATGTTATGGATTACTTCACTGACGATCTACGTTGTTAAATTTCTATTTCTCAGCTCAGAAGTGAAGAACTTATTTAGAGTTTCAGTCTCCTGACTGAATCAGAGGAGTGTGTGTTGGTTTTTATAGTGATTAATTATTTACACAAACATTCAAACACAGAAACACAATCACTGATATTTATTGAAGCTTTCCGAGCACACATCAGCTAACCCTGCAAACACCCATAAATCATCAACGTCCCGTAATCACATGACCAAATGAAGAAATGCTGTCCACCTGAAAGGACTTAAAGCTAAGCTGGAGAAGAACTCCCAGTGGTTTTACCATAATCTCATTAGTGATAGTGGATCAAAGCTGGACATGCATAGGCAAATAAATACAATTTGAACAATGTTCACTTCTTTTTCCCCGACACCAGAACACCAAACTCCTGGATGGATATTTCTTTATCTTCATACTGCTGGAGCTGGCGGCTTGTGATGTTCCCCGTACGCAGGGCCTCATCGATGGAGAACTTCTTCCCTGACTTTCTGTCATGAAGCACAGATGATTCTCCGTTCGGACCCTTGACTGTGATCTCCTCCCAGTCACACTCCTGGCCCTGCAGGTTGACAAACATCTTCCAGTCGATCAGCCCTTGTTTGTATGCCTCTTCAGGCCTCATCTCTCTTCCAGTGTCTGGATCAATGACAACAATGGACCTGCGGAGATGGCTCTCTCGTTGTTCTCTCCTCATTCTCACCGCTGACAGGTTCTTCTTAAGCTTTTCAATCTCCTCGTCCTTCTGGCTCGTTACGTCTCTTAGCTCTGAAAGTTCCCTCTGAAGCGAGTCAAGTCTCAGCTCCAAGTTCTTTCCATCCTGTATTGGTGCAGACTCGGTGATCAGACGAGTTTCTTTGCTGGTGATCTCTATTTCTGACCGAAGCTTGCGAATCTCGTTTTGTAGCCGTTGGTTCTCCTGCTGTAGGCGGTTGCTTTCATCACGAATGTAATCAAGCTCTTTAGTCGACTTAGTGTTGGAAAACTCCATATCAGACAGTTTGGAGGTGAGGATGGACAGTTCCTGGTCAAGTTCTTTTCTTCTCCTTTTCTCATCTTCCAAAGTTCTCCTTAGGTTCTCGATCTCAAGCTCGGCCTCTGGGTCTCTTTCTACTTGAACCTTCTCAGTGCGAACAACCCTTTCCTTCACATCCATCTTCTCCAGGGTGAGCTGCTGCTGAATGAGAATGTTCAATTCTTTCTCAAGCAGGGTTCGTTTGTGCTTCTCCTCATCGAGCTGCAGTTTGAGGATGGAATACTCTTTCTCCTGCTGAGGATCCTGCTGCAGGACTACCTTCTGTTTGACAGTCACCCTCTCACGGTTCTCTTTGTCACGGATCTCCAGCTCATTGAGTCTGACGCGAAGCCTTTGGATCTCCAGTTCTGCATCTCGCCTTGCCCTGCGCTCCCGCTCCAGTTCCTCCAGTTGCAGGTCCAGGTCAGCGATCTGCCTCTGCAGTTGTTGGAGTTCAGCCTTCAGATTATCCTTCTGTTTTTGCTCATTGCTGATGTTTTGTACAAATGTTTCGCACTCTGACTTGAGGACAGGATCTTCTTCCATCTTGACCACCTCTTGCTGAACGATCTTCTCCCGAACCTGAGATAGATCAATCTTCTTCAGTCTGATCTTCTCCTCCTGGATGGAGCGATCTCCCTCAAGATCAAGACGTTTCTTCTGCTCATCAGCCAGCTTTCTTTTCAGAGTCTCGATCTCTTCCTTAGTCTTGGGATCTTCTCTGTACTGCACCACTTCGTTGACTACCTCTTTGGTCTGAACTTGGGGTTTGGTCTCCCTCCACCGGTCAATCTCAATGCGAAGCTGACGAATTTCCATCTCAAACTTCTCAGTCTGGTGGGTTTTATCAACTATTTCATTGCGAAGTCTCTCCAGCTCTCTTTCTGTTTGTGGATCTGTCTTGTACTTGATCACTTCTTTGATGGTTTCTTTGACTTCCACTTGAGGTCCCCTGTTCTTCAGCATGGTCAGCTCATCCTGCAGAGATCTCAGCTGGAGCTCTGCATCTCTGGTGCGCCTCTGTTGCTCTACAAGCTCAAGTCGTAGATTGGCCACCTCATTCTCAGCCTTGGGGTCAGGTCGGACAATCTCACGCACTTTTTCCTGAATCAAAACCTTGGACTTCTCTTCCTCTAGGCTCTGGATTTTTCTCTGGAGGTCAGCTTTCTCCCGCTGGGAGGATCTCCGTTTAGCCTTCTCATCTTCAAACTGCCTCCTGAGGTTTTCCACTTCTCGTTCAAAGGTAACATCTTTCTCTACCTTCAGCACCTCCTTGATGGAAATTTTCTCCTCAGCCATTGATTTCTCCTTCTCCAGCCGTTTGAGCTTCTCCTGAAGAAACTGCAGCTCATCTTCCAACTGCTTCCTGTTGTCTGTTTCTTTCTGTTTCCTGTCAAGAAGAACTCGGTACTCTGATTCAAGCTGAGGGTCATTCTGGACTTTGATCACCTCCTCTTCGGTGATGACCTCCTGCTCCTTGTTCTTCTCCTCAGCCAGGAGAGTCACATGCTTTTGTATCTGAATAAGCTCGTTGTCTTTTAGCATCTTCTGCCTTTTTAGCTCCTCCAGCTCATCCCGAAGTTTTCGAATTTCTTCTTCCTGACCCCG